GATATAAATAGTCTCTTTGAAATTTCTTCATTTTCTAAAAACATATTTTTATTTACTTCAAAATAAGAGTCTTTTCTTCTATACGTAATATTAACAAACAACATACTTAATTAATCAATTGACATAACTTACAAGTACTGTAGATAATAATTCAAATTTTAAATAATCTTATTTTAAATTCAAATGCAGTTTAAAATAGTATTTTATTTAATGTTACAGGAAAATGCCAGTGCCTTGTGCAACTGTCTACATTACCAGTGGCAGTTTGCTATGGTTGTGGTGTTACTAGTAAAGATGCTCAAGCCAGTGCTGCTCAAAACGCTTTGGAATATCTGAAAATCATGACCAAAAAGTGAGCCAGCGCTTTGCTCCTGCCAGCTGTCACTATTAACTGCAAATCCCACAATAACATGCTGCCCAAAAATCAAAATAATAATACAGATCCCAAAATTTTATCAGTGAATAATCAAGTGCCAGACAAGGGTAAAAGTGGTCAAAAACTTGATCATGTAGGGAACAAAAATAGACTGTCTAAACTGTCTGTTAGAACAGTAAACACCATAGTAGGGAACAAAGATGCCACTCTGAACACAATCGCCACCACATCGGGTGTTACAATCGCTACGAGTAGGATAAATCAACCTATAAAGAAGAATAGTGGAAACAATGACAATATAAAATCAAATGACCAACAGTTACCAAAACCCTCGCCAATAGTGACTACGAATCAATCCAGCTCTAAATTCGGTAGTGTAAGAGGTGTTACTACATCTTGTGTTAGTGGTACTGTTCCTCATGAAAATCCACCCAAGTCCAAAGATTATTCTACTAAAAAGTTTTCCAGTGAGATCGATTCGAAAATGAAGAACTGTCAGATACAACCCGATTACAAAGAATCGTCTATAAGTAATCAGGATTACAAAACGAGGAATAGCACGGCTATGAACAATTTACCATCAAGATTTGTGAATCAGGCATCTGTTCCAACATTGCACAGGGAGAACCACGGAACTTCCAGTAGCGCATATCATTCTCGATCGACCTCGCAGAACGATAATACGGCATTCGCCGTGGCTAGGAAAGCTTTGGAGCAACAGAATCCTACGTCGAAGATGGCTCCGATCAACTTCCCGCCATTACGTGCACCGCAAAGTATCGTGAACGTTCGTCACCCATTCGTAACAGAGGCAAGAACCAAACACAATGAGATAAGTGGGTCAAGCTCGAAGTCGAAATTAAATATGGGAAGTCCTCTGCAGAGTGGTGTCAAAGATCTCGACCACAGCAGACAAACGTTTCACAGTTACGGTACCTCACAGATTGCCGGAATACCGAATGTTCAAAGTTTGAGTAACGTTACGGCGAACATGTCGCCTTATCCAAGGCCGGAAAGCTTTCCTCAGCCAACTGTCGCGAGCGTATTGTTCCCCGACACATCGCAGTTCCCTCAGTCGCCACCCTTCAGCACTACACAAATTGGACAGCTAAATCAGTACCAGACTTACGATCCCAGCAGTTTTGCGACCACGCCGGTGAACGTAAATCCAGTAATTCCGCAGTTTTCCGCGGAGAGTTCGATCCCGTATCCGCAATACGATAATCCTCCTCAATTCGTGCAACCGAATCATTATCCGACCGCGGATATAGCGAATAGCCAGTACCAGTATCAGGCTGCTGGCGTTGGACAGCTGCAGGACTCACCGATGTTTATACAAAGCCTGCAAAGTCCGATCGCCGTAACGGATCAGTATGCTGCTCCGAGTTACGCCAGAACAGTCAGGACTGAACTGATACCACGATTGAGGAGGCCTCCGAGATTCAACAAGTAAAAATGATTATCTCTGTTCGTTTCGTTTTTTTTCCTTTTTTCTTTCTTCGACGTGTTGCATGCCGAATGATTTTCCTGTGTTCTTACCTGTGACGCAGGAGCTTTTACCGAACGGAATAGACACATAACGGTAAAACACTCTATGAAATTATTTAATCGAATTGATGTTACGATCAGTAATATTAAAATTTTTGCGAACATTTAATTAAATGTTGAACTACTGTAACTGATTCGATTGAGGATTACCGACGATCCAAGCGGCGCCATAGACGAATGAGACGTCGGCCGTTGGTGACCTGTCACAGTATTCGGCGCATTGAAACCATCGTTGAACAGAAATCGTATTAAGTGAAGGAAGTGCGTGAAAAAGAAGACTAAATCTGCTAATCGGATTGAATCGTTGGCGCAGTGAAAGATGTGGTAAAAGTTATTTCAATTTTTGATCCATTTTGAAATAAATTTTAACCAGTCTCTGCACGGTTCACAGAATGTAGGAGTTGGAAATGGTAAAACCAGTAATTTTCGACGAGATTCTTCGAATCGCGTGTCTCATAGAGATTGCGATTGCTGAAGGCTGTATAAGAATTCTGCCACGAAGATTTTTTACGTACACATATACAGAGGAAAAGAAACGCGTACAGAAACGAAGAGAGAGAATCATTTTGACTTGTTTACATCGTTCAATGTGACATGGCAGGGCATAGTGAGTTGAGCTCGAATTCTAATTTTATGACGTAATTTATCTGCATCATAAAAATACGAGAAGTGAGAACTGGAGAATAAATAAATAAGAAAAAAAAGAGAGAAATTAAAGTGAAAGAAGGCAGTTGCATCCAGTTTGTTAAATTGTATATAAATTATGACTGCTGGCTAAGAATAGTATCATTTATATAAATATTGCGAAATGGTTTCGAGGACGGATTTGTTTTCCACCGAGGCGGCGACCAAAACAAATCTGTCGGTGAGTGAAGCAGAGTCCACAGTCATATTACTATGTTAAACAAAAAAAGAAAAGAACGAAAGGAAAAAAGCAACTAGAGGATGGAAAAGATGATTCACGACATTTGTGAGATAATAGGGAAGATGATAAAGCAACTGGATTATAATTATAATACGATAAGTCCTAGTTTTAATGAATGGTATTCTACAAGCTATACTTTGCATAGATTTAGTGGAGGTTTTCCAATATTTGCATATTACTTAGCTTACCGCTATGTTTTTAATGTGCTTCACTATCTATATATGGGATGGATAACGATGTTCATTACAACGCACGAAACCGTTTATACTCGTGGGAATGATGGAAAGTGTTCTGTAATCTATCGAGAAACAGAAAAGAAAAGTTAGCGAAATAGAGGATTGATATGTCGCAGTCCCGCTGCGATCAAGACTTCTCGGTTGATTTGAACATCGTGTCTTCACCGAGCGTATGCACAGTGCAGACGTAGCTTTCGGCGGTCCGTGTATAATAATGGCGATCGCGATAAAGGTAACGATATAATCTTTCAGTGGTGTATATTTTTCCTTTAGTATAGTAGCTCATAAACTCATAAGCATCATATTACTAATACGAGTAAGGTTAATCGTTAAGAATTCCTCATTAAGTACACATCTCGTATAGCCAAGTATATACTCGTGTGTATTGAATTTTGAATTGCCTAAGTGCGTCGACCTCACCGGATGAGACATTTATACTAAATGAAAAAGGATCACATCGCATGGACAAACAGCGTTGAGAGGACGCGACCGTCGGTATGAATGGAAGTGAATGTGTTTCGCGGAAACGGAATACCATGGATCACTGCTACTCTGGACAGGAACACGATGAGTCGTTTCATGGGAGAAATAAGGAACGTTCGCGCGAACGAATAGATAATCGAATTAGAAGACACTGTGTTCATCGTCTCATTGATCAATAAGCGCAGTGATTCTTCAGCCTCTGATCTCAGTAGTCTCCCGTCACGCGTACCCCGTAACATTACCGGGCAAAAATTTGAAATTACTTCGTGACTGCAAACATTTGATTGACAGTATAAATTCAATTTTACATCGTAGGCAGAACTTTTGTTCGTGGACAGTGCTCGAAAAAAAGGATTGACTTGTCAAAGCGAGTATTTAACGATTAGCAAATATGAAAAGCATGTTGCTAACATGAGAATTCAAGTCGAAGCTAGGAAAGAACATTTACCTCATGGATCATAACGTGAAGGTAACGAAGGTTACACACCGAGTCATAAGTAAATGATTTGTAGGTCAAATTTGGTCTAAATATTCTCTAATTTTGTAACATCTTAAAATTGTAAACATTCGCCATTTAGGAATGAAAGTGCTCGCGGAACGGGAGAATACTGTATTATTCCCGTGTAACTGGTATTAACATACACATACACAATTTTGTCCAGTTTTTTATTTTCTTGTTTCAAATTCACGTTTAATTGATTGGTAAATATTGTAATAGAAATATTATAATATTTCATATTTTTGCTATCGAAGATTCTTGCTCTAAGCAGTTTCAGCTTGTAAACAGTCGGTCAGCTCGCGAGAGGCGTACTTATATTGTTAACACGTCAACTATTGTTCGAATAATTTATAATTCAATTGTTTAATTCAGTATTTTGAAGCACCGAGTATTTCTATTCGCCATGATGTAAACGGTACAGTTTGTAGAATGCGTATTTTGATACCAGTGTAGATCAAGGTACGGGTACCCCGAAAGCGAGGGCGCGAAGTCACATACACTGGCGGTGAACGTGTTAATTAATCAGGCATCAAGTACTAAAATAGTGGAAGTAAAAATGAAACGAACCTTGTTCGGTTCTTCGATGAGTGAACTCTAAAAATCACTATATCGCCTGCGTGTATGTGACAGTGGTCTCTCAACGCGTCGAAGGAAAGTGTGCGATTGCCGCGTTCACTTAATTAATGAGGGGTGTTTTTCTATAAATGAACGGATCGCGCTATTATTTGTCACGACGAACGCGGGCAAACGATCCGTAGCGCGGGTAGCATGCCAGCGAGCGATAACTGATCGTAAGATGCAAATAAAATTTCACGTATGAAATGGGTGTGTGCGTGCCGCGCAAACAGCTGGCCAGATAACGATGCAATAACGAGTAAAAACGGGTATTGGCGCGTGTTCATGATATCTTGGCCAGCGTTTGACTTATACCGACAGTACAAAACAGATTCTTTTCCCGTAAAGTAGATTGAACCGCGGGCCAGGGTATCGCGGGAATGCGACGAATGTACGGTAAATGTAGTATATGTGAATCGACGGGCGAGGCGCGATTCGATTCGTGAAATTAGCTAGCCACCTGTTCATTCAAGAGACGTCGATTTTCATGTCAGTTTTCACGGTTCACGTTGATCGTTCAGCAATCCTCTCAATTTGGCGAGAGACCCTTAATTGGAGCCGCTCACGAAAGTCGAACGAATTCCTCGTGTCTCTCCCGCTGATCGTGCGGAGCGTGTTTATGTAGAGGATAGAGCGGCGTCGCTGAGAACCGTGCGCGCCTCAACGTTAGCACACCAAGCTGGACGAGAAAGAACGAGATTCTAACTAGCTGAGGCGATGTCTCGAGAGTCGCGACGTAATTTATTCCGGTCGGAGCATA